GATTTTGGCATTCTACGACATTGGTATAGTTTTTATTAATTTTTTTGTAACTTATGGTATATTTTTGCTCATTTTGCAACTGTTTTGTACGATTTACAATATGGTTGAAAACTTTTTTTTTTTTGGAAACGGCCGAAAATTCATGCGCGCGCGGATGTGATCCATATAATCAAATCAACATGGCCTAAATAAGTATCAAAATGGAAGTCTTTTAGACAACTCACCGTTAGGTTGGGAGTCTGATAGTATCCTTCATTTCCGCTGAAATTAGTACTGCAGCAAGTGAACTCATCAAGACCGCTGTTAGTAGTTCCTATAACTGTGGTCACCTGTAACATTAAAAACAAAATCTAATAATGGTTAAAGTAATGGACACAAATTACAATGTATTTATTTTGTGAAATCTTAGTGCATTTTGTACATATTTGTTTAGTTGCATTTATGATCTGTTATGAGTTCACTTTGTTCACCATTATTGTATATAGCCTAAATTTATTGGTGTTCATATTTTTTTGGGATTCTGTTATCTGTACCTTTGATTCTCTTTTGTTTATGTATTACTCAAACGGTGTCGTATAAGCCCACACGGGCTGGGCGCGGGAAAGCGCACGACACGAAAATAAAGTCTCATTCATTCATTCATTCATTCATTCATTCATTCATTCATTCAACATATGATGTTGTTAGTGTAAGACGCGAATTGTGAAATGTCAGAAAAAGTCACAAAGTTTGTTATGGCGCAATTACAAGCTGTTCAGACGTAATACGACATAAAAGCAGACGCGGTCTATATATAATATATTTCCATTTGATAAGAATCGACCCCTACCCTTGCCTTTGATATTGTACCATTACCATTACTAAGAGGGTATAACTTGCAGATACAAAACAGTATCGATTTATAAATGAATTATCCAATTGCAGCCTCTTTCTAGTTAAAATGCTTTGCGCGATTTAAAAAATATATCAAACATTTCTTGTCGAAAAACATGGAAAAAGATTTCTGGTTATTTACAGACTCTTTGGGTTGCTGAAAAATATTAATCAAAACATGCTTTCAAAATACTGCGTCAAAATAGTAATGGCTGTTTTGTTTTCTTTCTTTGAAGTTAAACTACATAGTATTTTTCCAAACATCATACAGCTTGCCAGTAGACAAAAGACAAATCTTGCCTTTTCAACATCCTGGAGGTTGGTATTGAAGTATAGCCCAGCCGAGGTCACACAGAAGCCTAATGCCGCCATGAAACCTATTGCCATCACAAGGAGACACAGTTGCCTGTACGTGCACCATTCGAATACTGAGGGAAACATAACATTAAAAACGATATATTTCATCCATACAATGGTATGGAGTGAAATATAAAAAAAGAATATACACCGCAGAAAAAAAACATGGAATAGCTTTTAGGCTAGTTTACAATTAAACCTTTGTTTCAACCACTTTCAAGACAAAGAATGGTTCAGACTTAGAGCTTTCTACCAGTCACTCTGGTCTTCCTCAGTAGACGGATCCAAAGAACGACCAGAGTGACTGGTAGAAAGCTCTAGGTGAGAACCATGTCTAAACGTCTTGGAACTTACAAAGGTTTTAACTTTAGGTACGTAATAACCAGCACAGATAAATTTTCATGATGGCTTCTAGGCTTCAGCACGAAGACTGTTACAGAAGTATGATACAAAAATAATATCTAACCATGCAGCAGAGCAGATTCAAATTTTGTGCTTGCATTATCCATAGCCTGGGTGCCATCCTCTGTAAATTTTCACCAGCTTCCTAATGTCGCTGGCTACCACGGAAGATGGCACCCAGGCTACATTATCCAATGATCATGCAGATAAAAATGGGATGATGTAAATCTATTTTTATCTCTACATAAATTATACAATAACATGTATGAAAGCTGCATATTACTAACTGGTAATATGTTACAACATCTCGAATTGTTCTAAGGTGGCAGACACACTATGATGGCGTCACAGATCAAAATGGTTGCGCCCATTGACCCAAGGGTAAAATAGAATATGATTGTCCTAACGTTTGCTACACAAAACCTATAGCAAACTTACCTATACACAGCAGGTATAAATACACGACTGAAAAACTATTTCTTACACAGGGAAATACGCCTGTACAACGAGTCTTCACATTAAGACTCTTAGGACTCGGTGATCTTTACTTTAATGCTCATGTGAGGCGTTTTGTAATGTTTTTGTTCGTGTGTTTGAATATGTTTTGCAATATTTGCCAGTTAAGTAACTGCAAAAAATCAGTGTTATTCAGCATGTTTTGTACAGGTTGCGAGGCTGGTTTTTATGAATAAACTGTTAATAAACTGTTCAAAAAAATCTTAAAATCTTACCGCAAGTCTTTTGTGGTTGAACATGTGGCACGTACGTCGGATTTCTGATCAGGACATTTTGTGCTATAAACGGATTTGGAGGACTGGGTAATATGTTGTCATCCCTGTCATCAGCAAGAGTGTAGTGGTGTGTAGGTGCACATGGCTGGATACTGCAGTCATCATTGCTCGCTAACCCAGAGGCTGGTTCTTTTAGCTCGTTTATCTGGTTGGGGTTGGCGGTTGTTTGGGCGATGACTGGTTCTATGCAAACGTTTGGCTGGATTGTCGGACTAGGATTGGCGGTGCTTTGGGCATAGCCCTGACCAGTCTTCGGCACATACATCGGATTCGGGTCCTGCGTGTCTTGTTGGTACACAACGTACATTGGACTTGGTACACCATGTAGACTTTCTGTGTAGACAAGGTTCGGGTTTCGAGTGTCTTGCTCGCAACTCTGATTTTCATAAAGTCCGTTTGAAGGATGTGGGGTGTCACTGATGTGACTAGTGTTACCCTCAACTATGGGTGAAGTGTGTACGCTGTTCTCTGGTGCGTTGTAACACCCTGACAGGGTGGTTGTGATGACAGTGCCGTTGTCTAAAGCTGTTTTTGGCGTCGTTTCTTCCACATCAGTATCCCAACCCTTCATATCATCCTGACAAATGTCTACATCACAGTTCGGATTGCCAGCAGGGTCGATGTTGTCTGTTTGTCCGATCTCATCCGCGGCATCGAATACCACAGCCAGGTTGTCATCATGATAATGATCATAACCTTCCTCATAAATAGAGGTGATCCAGAAATGCCCAACTCCGTCAGCTTGTGTGAAGGAAGCTTCCCGTGAGCCGGTATCCAGATTGGCTGGATTCATATTTGCTTCGGAGAGATCGTCCACAGTGAACAACGTAAGACGAATAGAGAGGAGAGTTATTTTTTTTTCGTCCGTGGGTTCCACAGCTCTTGACGATGTGGTAACTGTCTGTGGTTCTGATGTAGCTAGAGATGCTATGGTGTTATACATGTATATGTAGTGGTGTTATACAGTCTGATGTATACATGAGAACTAGTCCTTTGTTCGTTTTGTGTGTTTGGCCGACTAGGCTTAGTTTGCTCTAAAGAAGTTGCTTTCAACATATACAAAGTCTGGGGATTAGGCTGCCCCGTCATTCGGTGTGTTTTTTCTGGATTACATTTGCAAAAAGACAATATGTGTCGGATGAAACACCTACTTTATGTTCAACTTTTTGATAAAAACAGTGGATACGGAGCGGAAAAAAGGTGTTTTCGGTGTAAACCCCGAATTCAAGGCGAGCTTACCACGCACACAGCCAACACTGGAGATTGTCTGGTATGGAGGCTGTTTGTTGTTTTGATGTAATGAGGAAGTTACCGGACTATTCAGTGGTCTGTACCTCCTGGGCTGTCAGATGTAAGAGCTAGTAGCCCTTTGTTCGCTTTGTGTTTACCGAAAAGGCTTAGTTTGCTCTGAAAAAAGTTTTTATAGAGCCTGAGGATTGAGGTAGATTAGACTTTCCCATGATTTTGTGTGCTTTTTTCTTGATTGCATTTGTACAACAATACGTGTCGGATGCACCAGACTTTATTCCTTCAGCACTTTGATATCAACAATGAATATGGAGCCGAAACGGTAGTCTGTTTTCGATGTAAACTCCACGGCCACTGAAAGGTACACTTAAGCTTCCTGATTGTGCATACAAAGCTGGAGATTGTCTATGAGCTTGTTTTCTTCACTCACTCACTCACTATCCTGGTTTAGATTATTCTGCTGCCGGTTTCCCTGCCCCAGGGGTGGGCAGCAGTCGGCTGTTCTGGACACCACGCCTCCAGCTAGCTCTATCCTGTGGGTCTGTACTGGACAGACCACACTCCTTAATATCCTTCTGGATACACTCCAACCAAGTTTTTCTAGGCCTGCCACGGCCTCTGTTGCCTGGCAACTGCAAGTCCACGATGGTGATGATGCAGCTACTTGCTCTTTTAACGTGCCCATACCATCGGAGGCGGCGTGACCGTAGTACTGAGGAGATGTCTTCCACACCGAGCTTGGCAAGCAGGGAAGCTGAGGGAGTCTCGTCCTGGGCCTCCTTCTATATAGTATTACATATTAAATATGTGCAACGGCATATTTTTGCTATGGACAAATGAGTCTTAGCAGACCTTTTTAGACATATTCTATCACACACAAACTCTTTTGTTGAAGTTTTGTTGTACTTTTGAGTTGTACGGGAATTGTCTATTTAGAC